ACTGATAGGTGGTACTGATGGGCATTGACAGGCATCACTGATGGGCACTGAAAGGCAGCACTCATATGGCACTGATAGGTGGCACTGTTAGGTAGCACTGACTGGCACTGGTAGGCAGCACTGACTGGCACTAATAGGTGGCACTGACTGGCATTGATAGGTGGCACTGACTGACACTGATAGGTGACACTGAAACGCAGCTCAGATGGGGCACTGATATGTGGCATTAATGAGGCACTGATGTGCACTGGCAGGCAGCATTGATGAGCACTGACAGCTGGCATTGATGGACACTGACAGGTGGCGCTGCTGGGGCTACACTGATCATCAGGGCACATGTCCCCTCTGAGGAATGCCGATTACCGGCTCTCCTCTCCTCACGAGCTGTCAGCGTGACAGCTCGAGAGGAGAGAAATGCCGATAACCGGCATTTCCCTGTTTACATGTGATCAGCTGTGATTGGACACAGCTGATCACATGACCAAGCCGACATCTTCGTCTCTTTCCATTGATCGGTGATCTGCTGTGTCTGAGGGACTCAGCACACCTCCGATCGCCGTGCTGCATGCTCCCGGAGCCACGCACACTTAGAGTGGTAGGACATCATATGACGTCCTCCCAGAACGAGAGAACCGCCTTGACCCCATCATTTCCTTATATGGCGAGCGGGAGACGGTTAAAGAAAACATTTTTTACTTCGTATTTCAAGTTGTGTTGGCAGTACTAGGGTCATTGGTTTGAATCCCAGCCACGGCACCACCTGCCTGGAGTTTGCATATTCTCCCTGTGCGGGTTTCCTCTGGGTACTTCAGTTTCCTCCCACACTCCAAAGACATGCTGGTAGGTTAATTGGCTCCTGTCTAAATTGGCCAAAATATGTGTATGTATGAATGTTAGTTAGGGACCTTAGATTGTACGCCCCTTGAGGGTTAAGGACTGATGTGAATTACAATATATATAGATTATAGTATTAGGGTGCCGTGCTCTAATATTGTATAAACCTGATTATTATATATAAATAATAAGATTAATAAACCTGGTGATTAAATTCTTCATGATCAGTATTAGACATGTGCATAAAATATCAAAACATGGTAACCAGTGAATAATCATTAAATTATAAATACTGTGAAATAAAAATCCAAAAAAAAAATATAAAATGTCCAATAAATATAAGTCAAAATAAATAGAGAAAATACTGTGGAAAACAAAAAATGTTATTAAAAAAGTCTCCAATTGATGGGAAAAAAAATTAATCCAAATGATAGTGAAAAAAATGATAAAATGTTATTGGAAATATGTATGGAAAATCCTGTGAATATTCCAAATTCAATATACTCTCCTTCTAATCAGCCTAAAGATGGATATAAAAAAATAAAGAGAAACAGCGCAAACATAGACCTCTAAATAAAATCAATATACAAAGTGCAAACATAAATGAAAAATTGATCAATAGTGAAGTCCATCAAGATAAACCAAAGTTCAAAAAATATCCAAAAATATTTGTGCAAAAAGAAATATTTTCAAATTCTTCTTCTATTATAAAGGAACTTCCACCTTCCACCCGTGAAAACCAATATCAAATGCACTCACCAGATATAGGTGAATAAAACGCCTCTTAGGAATTTTATGGGATCCCAAACCCTCTTTCGTATCCACTCTATAGGAATCCTCCTCTCCAGCATAGCCTCCACCTTGGTCTTGAGAACGCCCGATGGGAGGGGCGAAACGCGTTGACGCATTTCCGGTTTCTATTCTGTACGTCTGACGTCACTTCCGGTGAGTGGAGCGCACGCTGAGCGGTGCGTTCCAGCGGCCATCTTTTGGGATCTGTAGATGTGTGGTCTCTGTAGAGCTTCTGCTGTAACCTGGAGCTGTGATGTGAGATTCCGTGGGAGGTTGCCTTGCATCTACTGTTCATCTGAAAGAAGCTGGTCCTAATAAATATGCCTTTTTAAAGTGAATTTAATGTGAGTGGCCTTAATCCTTGATTTCACTTATGAATGGTGTCTTACAATATTACACTATCTGAGATTTTTTTCTCCCTGGTCGGATGGTGGAGCCTATGCTGGAGAGGAGGATTCCTATAGAGTGGATACGAAAGAGGGTTTAGGATCCCATAAAATTCCTAAGAGGCGTTTTATTCACCTATATCTGGTGAGTGCATTTGATATTGGTTTTCACGGGTGGAAGGTGGAAGTTCCTTTATAATAGAAGAAGAATTTGAAAATATTTCTTTTTGCACAAATATTTTTTTGATATTTTTTGAACTTTGGTTTATCTTGATGGACTTCACTATTGATCAATTTTTCATTTATGTTTGCACTTTGTATATTGATTTTATTTAGAGGTCTATGTTTGCGCTGTTTCTCTTTATTTTTTCATTATTTGTGTTGATCACAGTGCACAGCAGCAGGATAGAACCTGTAGTAGAGTGTTTCACTAGGCGCAGGAAGAATTTTTAGTAAAGATGGATATATGCTGCAATGTGATCCTCTGTAATGCAATCAGCTGTTGATCCTATTGACAAGCAGATCACTCCCTTCTCAGTCTCCTCAACCCAGTTTTCTATAAATCCTCATAGTAACCAGAGAGAAAAGAAAAATATATACTTATCTTTGATAAAAAACTGTAATTTATTATGTGCCCATATTGCACTCACATGATTAAAAACAATTAGCGCTTTTGTATGAATACCGCTGTATGCGATTATAATCAACCTCTTCAGTGTGCTTGCACACACTGTCAGTACTCGCCGTGTCTGGAAGCCGGATACTTGGTGACGTCACACCAAGGGGGAGAGAGAGTGCTCTATACAAGTGCCCCCACAGAGAGAGAATACACCACATAGGTGCCCCCACAGAGAGAGAGAGAGATTACTCCACATGACTTCCCCCACAGAGAGAGAGCATGCTCCATATGAATGCCCCCACAGAGGGAGAGAGAGTGCTCTATATGAGTGCCCCCACAGAGAGAGAGAGAACACCACATAAGTGCCCCCACAGAGAGAGAGAGTGTCACATGCCTGCCCCCATACAGAGATAGAGAATGCTCCATATGAATGCCCCCCCACAAGGGAGAGAGAGTGCTCTATATGAGTGCCCCCACAGAGAGATAGAGAGAGTGCATCACATAAGTGCCCCCACAGAGAGTGAGAGAGACTGCTCCACATGACTGCCTTTACAGAAAGAAAGATAGTCCTCCATATGACTGCCCCGCAGAGAGGGAAAGACTGCTCCACATGACTGCCCCCACAGAGAGAGAGAGTGCTCCATATGACTGCCCCCACAGAAAGGGAGAGACTGCTCCACATAACTGCCCCCACAGAGAGAGAAAGTGCTCCCTATGACTACCCCCACAGAAAGGGAGAGACTGCTCCACATGACTGCCCCCACAGAGAGAAAGAGAGAGTGCTCCATATGACTGTCCCCACAGAAAGGGAGAGACTGCTCCATATGACTGTCAACAGAGAGACTGTTCCATAAGACCCCCACAGAGAGACTGAGAGAGAGTGCTTCACATGACTGCCCCCACAGAGAGAGAGAGAGATCTCCGTATGACTGCCCCCACAGAGAGAGAGAGAGTGCTTCACAAGACGCCCCCCACAGAGAGACAGAGAGAGAGTGCTCCACATGACTGCCCCCACAGGAAGACTGAAAGAGAGAGTGTTTCACATGAGTGCCCACACAGGGAGAGAGAGAGAGTTTGCCGCATGACTGTCCCCACAGAGAGAGAGAGTACATCACATAAGTGCCCCCACAGAGAGAGAGTGCAACATGACTGCCCCCATACAGAGATAGAGAATGCTCCATATGAATTCCCCCACAAGGGAGAGAGAGTGCTCTATACGAGTGCCCCCACAGAGAGAGAGTACACCACATAAGTTCCCCCACAGAGAGAGAGAGAGTTTGCCACATGACTGTCCCCCACAGAGAGAGAGAGACATTGCTCCACATGACTTCCTCCACAGAAAGAGAAAGCATACTCCATATGAATGCCCCCACAGAGGGAAGAGAGTGCTCTATATGAGTGCCCCCACAGAGAGAGAGTACACCACATAAGTGCCCCCAGAGAGAGAGAGAGAGAGACACATGACTTCCCCCATAAAAGATAGGGAATGCTCCATATGAATGCCCCCACAAAGGAGAGAGAGTGCTCTATATGAGTGCCCCCACAGAGAGAAAGAGACTGCTCCACATGACTGCCTTTACAGAGAGAAAGATAGTGCTCCATATGACTGCCCCACAGAGAGAGTGCTCCATATGACTGCCCCCACAGAAAGGGAAAGACTGCTCCATGTGTCTGTCCACAGAGAGAGAGAGAGTGCTCCATATGACTGCCCCCACAGAGAGAGAGAGTGGTCCATATGACTGCCCCCACAGAGAGGGAGAGACTGCTCCATATGACTGCCCGCACAGAGAGAGAGAGAGAGTGTTCAAAAAGAGTGCACCCCCAGAAGGAGAGAGTGCACCACATAAGTGCCCCCACACCCCACAGAGAGACTGCAAATTGCCCCGACTGAGACAGACTGTCTCTCTCAGTGGGGGCAATTAGCAGTCTCTCTGTGGGGGCAATAATCGTGGAGCAGTCTCTCAGCAATTGTGCCACATGATTGCTCCCAGAGATACTGCAAAGCTAAACAGAGTGCCCCACGCCCAGCAGACAAACCAAAGAGAATGCAGGAAGATGAGGAGGAGAGCCTGTGCTGTCACTGCGACCACACACAGAGCTGACCGTGGATCTGGAACCTGGACCTTTTCTTGTGAGTGAGCACCACACCACTAGGCAAGCCAAGCAGCACTGGAATACAGTCACAGGAAGGGCAGTAGGCTGCAGTAGAGCCCAAACTGCAGGCTCTGGCTTGGAAAGTGCCTCCCAAGCAGTAGCAGTTGCACTCGGCCATCTCTGGAATTGCACATCCGCAATTCCAAGCTGGTGGCACAGGCATATTTTTAACAGGCACTTTTCTCTTTTCATGGATATTTAGGTTTACCTCTAACCAGGGGCGGACTGACAATTCATGGGGCCCCCGGGCAATAGAGGATCATGGGGCCCCTGTGTCCTTACCCACACTCAAAGCATACCCAAAAAATCCTATAAAAAGGTACCAGCGGCATGTGTTCGAATGGTCAGTCTGCCCCTGCCTCTAACACTGACTGCTATTCCCTATATATAACACTGATATCTGTACACTGAGTGGCATTCATTGTACAAATGTCAGTATTATATGTAGGGAATAGAAGTCAGTGTATAGATGTCAGTGATACTGTATATATAGCAAATAGCACTCAGTGTACAGATATCAATGTTATATTTAGGTAATAGCACTCACTAAGTGCTATTGTCTATACACCCTGTTCCAAATTATTATGCAAACTCTATTTAAGTGTCACAAAGATTAAATATTTTGTTTTTCAGTTTAACTCATGGATGGCATTGTGTCTCAGGGCTCTTTTGATCACTGAAAACAATCTCGGACACCTCTGATAATTAGATTGGCAGGTGAGCCCAATTTAAGGAAAAACTACTAAAGGAGGGTGTTCCACATTATTAAGCAGAGCACCATTTTCAAGCAATATGGGGAAGAAAAAGGATCTCTCTGCTGCTGAAAAGAGTGAAATAGTTCAATGCCTTGGACGAGGTATGAAAACATTAGATATTTCACGAAAACGTAAGCGTGATCATCGCACTATTAAGAGATTTGTGGCTGATTCAGAGCACAGACGGGTTTCGTGCAGATAAAGGCACAATGAGGAAGATTTCTGCCAGATCGATGCATCGGATCAAGAGAGCAGCTGCTAAAATACCTTTACATAGCAGCAAACAGATATTTGAAGCTGCTGGTGCCTCTGGAGTCCCACGGACATCAAGGTGTAGAGTCCTCCAGAGTCCTGCAACTGTGCATAAACCTTCTATTCGGCCACACTAACCAATGCTCACAAGCAGAAACAGCTGCATTGGGCAGAAAAATACATGAAGGCTAATTTTCAAACAGTCCTGTTCACTGATAAGTGCCGTGCAACCCTGGATGGTCCAGATGGATGGAGTAGTGGATGGTTGGTGGACGACCACCCTGTTCCAAAAGGCTGTGATGTCAGCAAGGTGGTGGTGAAGTCATGTTTTGGGCCGGAATCATGGGAACAGAGCTGGTCGGCCCCTTTAGGGTCCCCAAAGGTGTAAAGATGACTTCTGCAAAGTATGTGGAGTTTGACTGACCACTTTCTTCCCTGGTACAGAAGGAAGAACTTGCTTTCCGTAATAAAATCATCTTCATGCATGACAATGCACCATCTCATGCTGCAAAGAATACCTCTGCATCAATGGCTGCTATGGGGATAAAAGGAGAGAAAGTCATGGTGTGGCCTCCATCCTCCCCTGACCTCAATCCTATTGAGAAGCTTTGGAACATCCTCAAGCAAAAGATCTATGAGGGTGGGAGGCAGTTTACATCCAAACAGCAGCTCTGGGAGGCTATTCTGACATCTTGCAAACAAATTCAAGCAGAAACTGTCCAAAAACTCACAAGTTCAATGGATGCAAGACTTGTGAAGCTGCTATCAAATAAGGGGTCCTATGTTAAAATGTAACGTGACCTGTTAAAATGTTTAAAAAGTTAAAATGTTGTTAAAAGTTTGATTGAAATAGCTTTTGATTTCAGTAAATATGCTGCAAACACAACAAAAAAGCAATTTTCAGTTCTTTACAACCCATAAAGTGTTTTGAAACTTACTGTGCGTAATAATTTGGAACAGTGCATTGTAAGTTTTTTATGTTTAAAAAAAATACTGTTATCATTAGGAGGTTTGTTCAATAAAAGGTGAATTGTACTCTTAATAGTTGATAACATGAGAATTATGCTGACTGTTATTTACATCAATTATTTAGATAAATTAGAAAAATACCATTTGCATAATAATTTGGAACAGGGTGTATATAATATGGATATATTACACTAAGTGCTAGTACCTATATTTAACACTGATATCTGAGTTCCCCCGCTCCTCTGCTGAACTCCCCAAGAGGAGAAGTGTCCTGAGTAGCTGCCACTACCCTCATCCCCATGTCTCCACCATCCCTCTCTCATTCTGGTCAGCACGAGTCTTTTCTCCTAGCGCTGCATTACCACCAACAGGCTGTCATGATTCCCTTCCTTCTCCCACCTTAAACCTCCTCTTTTCTGCACTATAAGCTAGGTCTTTGTGCAGGAGGAGTCCATGGTAGAGAAGTAAGATCAGAGAAAATAAGATTGACTTCTAAAGATTAGTACACACGATCAGAAAATCGTGTGAAAATCATACGAACAATACCACTTTCAAAGCGATCGTATGATAATCTGATCGTCAATACACAGCTTTTGTCTGAAATTATTTCAAAGCACAAGCATGAATATATTTCCCGTACGATACCAGATCGTATGATTTTTCATTTAGTCAGTACAGTTTTCATCCAAAAATACAATACAAATACATTACATCGCTTCTGAATTTCTGTAACTTTAGTAACCTCTTCATTTTCGATATGAGACTAGCATGCAAAAAAAAACAACAAACGATTATTCATCTGATAGTCTCATTGAGTGTACTGGGCTTTAGAAGATTCATAATTTGGTTGATATACCATGAAACCAGTCCAGACCCAGGGGATTCATGGAGCTATAGAGACAGGTGACAAAGAATCACACCAGCCCTATGTTTGGGTAATGATAAGATAGTGGTTTTAATCCTGTGTTTTTTTCACTGTCATATAAAATCAAATAGCAGAGGCAGGGGCAGACTGACAACTCATGGGGCCCCCGGGCAATAGGGGATCATGGGGCCCCTGTGTCCTTGCCAAACTCAAAAAAGCCTATGAAAAAGGTACCAGGGGCATCTCATGGTGCCCCCTACTGACCCCGGGCCCTTGGGCAGTGCCCGAGTTTTCAAATGATCAGTCTGCCCCTGCCTCTGATGTTACTTCCTGTACCTGGCTCGGCCCCCTTCTTTCTGAGAGTGGGCTATAGGGCTTGCTCTGCTTCTTTATCCTCTTCAGAGCTGTAGAAGGCAGATCATGATGTTTCCAAATGGTCAGTCCACCCATGAGCAGAGGTAAAATTGTGTATGAAGCTCAGGGGTGCAGGGATCATTTAAAATACATATAACAGTTAGGGTAATATAGAGTATGCACTTTTTAATCTTACAGTGGTGCTAATACATACTACACTATACACTCTTTTTATGTATGTTAGTTCTCCACCATATGGTTCACTGCTGAGAAAAGTAGGATCACTCCATCTGTGTTTGATTGATGTACAGGTTCGTATAATTTTTGAGCTGACTCATAAAAAGAGGGTAATTTCCTTCTGGTAAGCTGTGTAGTTTGCCTTCTTAAATGATACATAGACGTTCTTCAGTATATAGGATTACTCAGTGTGTGTGTTGAACTTTATCATTCATTCATTTATTTATTTATGTATTTGTTGTCATAATATATATATATATATTTTTATTGAGCTTTATATTTATTGTTTTCCTTCTATGGGGTTGGTTCCCAAGGTGAGAGGCACCCAGTATACAGTCCTATTGAAATCTTTTAGAACCTACTGAGCTGGGGGTAAGTATGCATTTTGAGAGGGGAGGAGAGGGAAGAAAATATAAGTGCAATATGTTTCAAAGTGCAGTTCTGTTTTAAGTTAAGTGAATACATTTTTATGAAAAATGACGAAGAGGTTGTCACTCATTGCTTGTTTATTTTTTTTTAACTAGGATATAGAGTTCCAAGTGTCAGATATTACCTGTTATTTTAGGAAATTGATACAAGTAACCTAAGAGACTATCAATTATGTTTGTAATTTGAAAAATAAACCAAATTGCTGTATTATTTAGAATTTGGATTAGGCCTTAATTTATGTCAAGTGAGTGGCATATAACTAAGAAAGAAAATGGGCACAGTATGGGGAGCTTTTGGCTGTTTTTAATCCAGGCATTTGCTTTTCGGTGTGTTAAATAAATAAATGCATTTATATTGTTATTAATCACAACAGCGTACATTGTGAAATATGTAATGTCTTCACTGGCAGATTGAATAATGCTTTAATTATGTATGAATGAAATGGACATTGAACCAAGTAGCTGTGGCTGCAAATCTTATTTGAGGAATGAAATGCTATTTATGAATAAATGAAAGATTTCTAAATAGTGGGCAAAAAGTATATAATAAAAACAGAACTGACAAAATATGGAATTATTGCATCTAAAAGAACACAAAGTGCTGATATAAAATAATACAATGCAGTCAACAGAGTTTAAGTCTTTGAATCTTTCTCAATTTTTTATTTAAAACAAATGTATTTACTGAAGCAAGTAGGATGTAGCTGTTGCACCCAATGCTAGACCCACTGATAAAGATAGGTAAAAATGGTTTGTTAGGTTTCCACATTCTATTGCCGCAAGTGAGGGCCCACCCACCGCCCAGCAGTGCGCCCACTAGTGCCACCAGTCAGTGGCCAGGGTTGTGCCAGCCGTTGCCCCAGCAGTTTGCCCAGAAGATGATGCCAAGTGCCGTCTGTCAGTAACCCATCATCAGTGCCACCCAGTGCCGCCTATCTGTGCCCAGCAGCCTATGCCCCCACCTGTGCCAACACCTCCAGTGCCCTTTAGTGGGGCTGCCTATAGTGCCCATCCAGTGCCAGCCTAACATAGACCCAGCCTCATCAACGCAAATCAGTGCCTCATTTGTTTGATAAATACACCTTCCAAGAAAAACATTCATTACTAACTGATCTTAAACCCTTTAAGGAGCATACACCCTAGTTCCCACATCCAAACTTGTGTTCACCTAACCCTTGCACTCTTGTAATGGCCTTCTTGGATAAACCATGTCTCCATGAGGCTGCCAGACTTGCCACCTCTTTTAATTTGCCTCTTTAATAAACTGGTATTTTACATGCAATGCTGTCTCTGGGGATAGCTGTGCCCAGAGTTGGTCATGTTGTACCCATTAGTGCAAAATTGTCAACCGATCTTGTATTCAGGAAGATATTAAAGTTATCACCCTCCTCTGATTGCTGCATCATGATGCAGTGTGACATCTGTGATTAAATACCACCAATAGGGTCCATTCTTTACTGCATATCTTAGTTGACAGCTTTCTGAATTTGCTGGATCAGGAGCTGTTGCTCTCCATACTGCCAGACTTTCCTCTCTCTGTTTAGAATTCAGCAATTACTTTAGGACATTATCAGGTGGTGAGCAGCACGCTCCAGATGGTGTCTCATAGATTATTCAGCAATTACTTTAGGACATTATCAGGTGGTGAGAGCACGCTCCAGATGGTGTCTCATAATTAAAAGCTGTCTGGCCTCTTCTCCATTTACTGAACCAGTGACCGTGGAATCATCAACTTTGGTACCTTTCTCTGTATGCCCTGCCTGAAGATGCTCCCACTTTGTTTCAGCAAGAGGACACATTGCGTTTGTTGCATTTATCTATGCCCTTTCAGCTGCCATCATCTGCTGTTCTGAAGTAGGAGCCAGAGGCATGTGGATCCCCAGAGTGAAGTAAGGAAACATCATGGTCTGCCTTCTACAGCTCTGAAGAGGATAAAGAAGCAGAGCAAGCCCTATAGCCCACTCTCAGAAAGAAGGGGGCAGAGCCAGGTATAGGAAGTAACATCAGAGGCACCCCGGACTGACCATTTGAAAACTGCCCAAGGGCCCGGGGTCAGTAGGGGGCACCATGAGATGCCCCTGGTACCTTTTTCATAGGCTTTTTTGAGTTTGGGCAAGGACACAGGGGCCCCATGATCCCCTATTGCCCGGGGGCCCAATGAGTTGTCAGTCTGCCCCTGATCAGAGGTGCCACCTAATGGAAACTTTATGTGCAACGCTTATCTCTTCTTCAGCAGCAGCCAGAGTGGGATGAACCAGTCAGGGTGGGTGGGCAAGAGGTCAGCAACACAACCTTCTAGAAATGGTGGGGCAGATGGGTGTTTGGAGTCAACTTCTTTGTCTGACAACACTTTACCTTAGGACCTGCTGAAATAAAGAGCGGCTCTGGGTGAGTGTCTTCACCACAATGCTGGCTGTCACTGATTCTGCATTCTTTGATTCAAGTCATTTTTAAAATAATTTCTGCTTTCCAGTTTACCTGCCCTCTACTTTTTCAGTGTTTTGGGGTTGCAGAAACAAGTTTTAGGGAGCATTTGCCTTATTAAGTGTTCTTTTTGGGCTTTTAGTTGGCATTGGTGGTAAAGTAAAACAGCTGGGGGTTGTGGATTTATTATTACTTCTGCAAGCTGTGACAGTGAAGTGCCCTGCCACGGTGTTAAAAGGTTTCGTATCACCCAGGATTCTAATACAGGCAGGTTGAAGAACTCCACGGTGCTAGTCTCACACAGAGGAAACTGTTTTTTTAGTTTCCCCAGTGGTTGGTAAAACACAGTTTGGGACCTGGAGTTTAGACACGAGATTTGGGAGAGGTGAAGTCTCCAATCCTGGGTCCTGATTTCGGGGATATCCAGCACTATAATTGGGAAGGTGTGTGCAGTGCTTTTATTAAAGACCTAACCTATCAGGGTTCCACCCTTACAAACAGAGGAGGTCTCTGCCCTGGTGTCAGGAAGGATCCACTTAGGAGACAGATGGGAGTCAGCACAGCGAGCTGTTAGGTACATGCACAGAGTTTGTTAGAAGACTGTCTGGAGGAGACAGAAAAAGGATCTAAAGTGTGAGCTCACAGCAGCAGCACTGCAGGTGTAAGCCAGGGACAGTACAGTGGCTAAATGGTTAACACTTCCGCCTGGCAGTACTAGGGTCATTGGTCCAAATCCCAACCACGGCACCATCTGCCTGGACTTTGCATGTTCTCCCTGTGCTTGCGTGGGTTTTCCTCCAGGTTCGCCTGTTTCCTCCCACACTCCAAAGACATACTGGCTCCTGTCTAAATTGGTCCTAGCATGTGTATGTATGAATGTTAGTTAGGGACCTTAGATTGTAAGCTTCTTGAGGGCTAGAGACTGATGCGAATGTAAAATATATATATGTAAAGCACTGCGTAAATTGACGGTGCTATACAAGTACCTGTATATTTGTCTTGTGCTTGAGAAATGCTGAAAAACCCCTGTCAGGGAAAGCCATATGATTTATTGAATTACATTTTCTTTTAATAAAAGTGGGCAAAAAAATCCTAAAAAGAAGATTTAAGTTAATGTAGCCGAAATGCTCTACCATTTGAAGATGGTTCTCACACAGCTAGCAAGAAATTTATGTCTAAAGATAAGAAGGATTCTGAGGAGGATAGAAAGAGGCCTGTGGCTAAGATATTTCACAATTAGCTTCAAGAATTCTGTCTATTCTCCAACATTTGTTAGGTGAGAAGACACATGAACTGTGTTCTGACTTGTTTCAGCATTTGGATGATGTCTTTGAGGCTTACCAGTAAATTGGTGGGATGATGTAGTTTAACAATGACAAATGTTTCCATTAAAACATGTTGTTAGAGTTTCGATGGGGTTTTGGGCAGGTGCAGTGTGGTGCAGTGGCAGTAAAGCCACAGAGTCCAGTTGCAATAAAAGTTGGACCTTGTATTAAAGAGACTGCCAAATACAAATACCCCAGCAGGAAAAACCCACTTGAGGAAAACATTCACAGTTCAGTTCGAAAGCAGAGATGCAGCAAAGAGCGATGCAGCAACAGCATCTGATTAGAGGGCGAAGTGTTGCCTGGCCAGTCTGGTCCCAAAGGGGAGGCTACCTTGAGGATAACTGATTCTTAACCTATCTCCCTTCATCAGGAACCTTTCCCTGCCACTAGTCACTTTCCATGTCAGACGGGGTCTCTCTCCCTACTCTATCCACTTCACATAAAGCATGCCAAAACCCGGGGGCATGGACTTATAAAGACCTTGCTGACCCAAGATGGCCACCAGGGGTCATATGGATGCAGCGTAGCTAACTGGCCTGCTGCTCTATGACCCAGTTCTGCTTCTTAGGAAGGGAAATGGTATTGATTTTAATGATTTTCAATGTAAGCTCACACAGTCTTGCAGATACAGTCATAAGTGTGCTTTCTTTGGTAGGAATCACCCTGTGTCATGTTGTTTTAAGTAGGCTTCTGCTCAGATTCAGTCCTCATTACAGGCTCTGTTTCATTAAAAGCTCAGAGTCCAGAGTATTGGAAAGAATGCTGTCTTGGTTTTAAACGTTCACAGACCTGCCAACTTATAAAGTAATCATTAATGGTTTTAGCAATGTAACCTTTATCCCACCTTACAATAGTAATGGGTGTACATAGTTATTGCTCCTGGAGGTAATTCCAACTAAAGAGCTGGGGAAGTATCATTTTGTCTACCATCTCTCTTTTCCTAAGGGTGGCTCTTTGAATTACAGTATTGATGGGTATCTGACTTCTGTTTTTCACCTGTCTCTTGCTGTCATTGGGCCTTTTTGGAGAGGAGCAGTACTGGCTAAAAACAAATGTGAAGTCTGCCTTTCAGCTTTTGCACTTATGGCCTGGTTGTTTTAATTCATTAGATTTTCATTTTAATGGTTCTTTTTATTTTCATAACTGTTCTCTTTCTTGTTTTATACTTTGAATCTTTTGCTACATTCTTGGAGTGGTCTGTAAATTGTGAACCAATATTTTCCCTGTGGTCCACTACTTTATTCACTTTTTGTGTTTGTAGGCCCTGCTGGTTCTAACATTTGCTCCTAGCTGCTGCATTTCCTTTGTAACAGAGAGGCCTGTTTTGGTGTTCCCCTAGCCAAAGAAGTGACTGTCTCATCTTGCAGCTCCCCAACCTTCCTTAGCATTACTATTTATGGTCCTGACAAAGCTCACGGTCACGTGGGAGAAAAGCGTTGATGTAGGCAACATCAATGAGCCTCGAGTCCCGCCATTAGCTGCCCGCTGCTTGGATACTCTATGGTGGACTTTTCCGCTTGCCCAAAACACGCTTGTAGACCACCAAGTGTAAAGTGTGTCATCATGAGTCCCAGTACACCCCATGGATTGGATACAAGTGAGCATAGCCCTGCAGGAGCATTGACTGTTACATTGGAGTGGTGAGAGCCCTCGGGCACATCTTTTGTGACTATATGTTGATTCCTGTGTGCCACTACCTCAAGTATTTTGATGGACTCATTGTTAGTGACCTCACCATAGTGCCTGTGGTATGCTTAACCTATACCCTGTAAGAGTTATGCTCTCTGCATTCATTGGAGTTGTCTACAATACCGTGTGAAATCCTGATACATGGACATAAGAGCTTTGGCTGTGTCCTGGACACAATTGACCGACAGATTCATCTTATGGTCATCCCTCTGATGATCCAGCTATACTATATGTTTGTTCAGCCTACCCTGTCTACCTGTTTATCCACTGTGGAATAATCCTATCCTATACAGGTTGGGGTACCTGCTCCTATATCAGCCCTGATAGCAGGGCACTAAAAGATATTGATCCATACTTAGACTCTAGTGTACCAGCCTTATGGTATATTTGACGGCCCATTTGGGCCTGGCCTTCAGCCCTGGGAAGGGCTTAATATTATTACTCTCAGAGTGGTAGTGGACGGGATGAGCAGATTGGTTCTCTATATGACAATTTGTAAATACTAACTGTCCGTTCCTTAGACTGATGGCCTGTTATGCTACACATACATTTAGATCAAGTGTATGAATGGCAGTGCGGTTGTGTGGGTGAGCTGAGCCCGGGCTTGTTATTCAAGGTGATAACGTTATCTAGCCTTGTTTTAATGGTGATAGGAGGATTGTAGGTTACGCTAACCAATCTTCTAATAAATTTTTGATCTCAATAAAGCTCTACTTGTTTAGTTAAACTGTAACTTTTAAAGCCTCTTAAAGGGTGGCCTCTCTTGGTCCCCCATATGTTTTTTTCTCTAGTTATGTTTATGGCTTTGGAGGTACCCCACTGTAAATCAGAGATCTATGAGTAGGGACCAGGGGTGCACTGACCATTCGAGCACTCGGGCACTGCCCGAGGGCCAGAGGTCAGTAGGGGGCCCCATGAAATGCCCCTGTTACCTTTTATAGGCTTTTTTGGGTGTGCTTTGAGTGTGGGCAAGGACACAGGGGCCCCATGATCCCCTATTGCCTGGGGGACACATGAGTTGTCAGTCCATCCCTGATAGGGACTGTACATTGAGATCTCCCTTAATGGGGATACATACCCTGGCATAGAATTCATTTTATTTCTTAATTAATTACTATTTATACCAATTGCTACGGGATTCAAGCTTCCTGAGGACAAAATCACTACTTTTAAATCTCACATTAATTGATTATTGAGAAAGCATAAAGCTATGGTTAAGGGGTTACAATCCTTGCTGGTTCTTCTAGATTTCCCTTCACATGTCACAGTGATGAGTCAGATTTTTTCAGAAGTTTGTATGGTTTACTGTCTAGCAAGAGATTTATTTTTGTGCATGATGCTCTTAACAGGGAGATTTGCAAAGATTTGTTGGTATGGTATGACTGAAGCGCCACCCCAGAAGAAGTTGCTTGGTAATTTTGGATTCTCTGTTCTGCATCTCGACTCCAAGAACAACCTTAGCCCCTCTGGCACACCTGGTTGAATAAAATCACTGAGGCACTAGTGTAAAAATACCTTTTTCCTGGCTATGGGTTAATACTAGTAAATAAACACACATCTGTTTAGTGGTAAAACACACTTAATCTACTCATAAAATATTGAATAAATGGCAGTTTGAACTTGCATAGACTCACAGCATGTAAATCAGGATGCAATCTGCTAAACAGAGTAATAACTATGCCCAAGTAAAAGAAATAATAATAATAATAAGAAAAAAAATCAGGTTCTATATTAATACCTAGAATCAATAAGTGAATTAGCAATAAACGATGTAAATAAACGTTAAATGCGTTAAACGTTAATCAATTATAAAAACTGTACACTAGTTTAGAGTGCACTCTAATAGATTGGCCAAGGTGTAGCACATCATCTCCTAAGAGGTACCTCTTTAACTAGAAAAAAAGCAAAGGATGTGGTACAGCAACGGCTAGGGACAGTCTCTAGTCCTGACTCTTCGACTAGAACGTTGGAGCTCTTATGTTGGCATGCAATGTAATCTGCAGTTCCTCTTGATGTGGAGAATAAGATAGTTCCCTTAAAGAGGCAAAGTAGTTGGCACAGTTCTTCTTAATATAGGTGAAGTGTGTGTGGAGGGGGTGTCACTTTATTTATTTATTTAAGTTACTTATACAGTATAGCGCCATCAATTTACACAGTGCTTTATACACATATATATTGCACATTCACATCAGTCCCTAACCCTCAGGGGGTGTACAATCTAAGGCGCCTAACTTACATTCATACATATGCAAACTAGGGCCAATTTAGACAGGATCCAATTAACTACCAGCATGTCTTTGGAATGTGGGAGAAAACCAGAGTATCTGGAGGAAACCCACAGGGAGAACATGCAAACTCCAGGCAGGTGGTGCTGTGGTTGGGATTTGCACCAATGACCATAGTACTGCCAGGCAGAAGTGCTAACCATTTAGCCATTGTGCTGCCTGGCTCACTAGGGTCACTTTAAGAAATTGAATTGCAGCGAAGAGTTTTTCTTAGCAGTGGAATTAGGGGGGGTAGCGGTCACTTTAAGAGAGAGGGAAGGAATTGGCAGGAGTGTTTCCCTTTAAAGGATGATGTTTAAATTAAGTGGCATAAGATCCCGCTTTAGATAGATGGCTTGAACATAGATAGATGCAGCTGCAGGGTTCTGCCTAGCAGGGTGTCAAAGGTTAACCCAGTTCAGTATCCTGCAGTCAGGGACCCTGATGGTGGATGAAGAACAACAGTCTACAACAGTACAGCAGTAAGGGACGCTGACGTATGTATCACTAGAAGAGGTCTATGATGAAGAATGTCTTAGGACTTAAGGGACCTGAATATCAGCAACTGTTTGCAACAGAGAGTAATGGTAAATGGGTCAGGAACCGTCTCACCCTGTCCTTGTGTAATGTTGAATGAAGTGATGTACTTCAGACGATGGGGGCCTCCTTTACTTGGAAGATCTGGTGGTGTTGGTGGCGACTTTCACCCTTCTACAGCCGTCAGGTCTCCCCAGGTCAGCTCCTTATACTCAATGCTCAGCTTGACAGAGATTTATGTGGCCTCCTGGTCTAACTTGGTCTGGTCCAGGCCTTCTGACTCAAAACAGCTCTCTCTCTTTGCTCCAGCAAAGTCTCTCTCCAAACCCCCTCTATTTTCCCTGACTTTTCTTTTTATATGCCACCCCCTGTAACTTCACCTGTGCTTCGAGCCTCTGAGAAATGCAGTTCAACTCTAGCAAATACAGTGTTCAAATGCTGCTTACAAAGTACACTTCCATGTGTGTACTTTGTGTTTCTGAAAGTTCAAGATGGAAAAGGCCAGAATCTCCATGTATCTATCTTGTGGCCAAAAGGAGGAAATGCATAATTAATACTTTTATATTGTAGTCTATGGGTTTCAGAGTTCAGTGACTGCGTGCCTGTTACATGAGTTTTTTATTTCTTTCAGTTATCGCTGTGTTTGGCAGGATGAATTTGTCTCTGCTGATAGTCTGCAATTGTTTACTGATGCTGTAGGTTCTCTGGGTTTCTGCACTTTCTGGCAGACAAAGTGTTTTGCAGAAGTTTGGCCTGCTTCTTTGATTTCCTGTGGAGCTACAAGAAATACTCTTTTACTGGTACTGTTCCCATTGATCGCTTCTATTGTTGTTTGGAGACAGTTTCTCAGTAACAAGTGAATTATTCTGCATACTTATAATAAGGGCGTGCTGTATGCAGTTAATTGTCTTTTTTTCCAAATCCCCTGCAGTTGTTAGTCTGTTAAGGCACCTGGTGTTTTGCTGCTTAAAGTTTAATATTTGGTAGAAAACAGAGTGGTAGATTTAGTGGCAGATGCTTTATGAAGGCAGAAGTTTTTTCTCTTTTTAAGCAATTAGTGTTGTCCATGGATGCTGCAGGGACAAAGTGCCCAGAGCATCTCTGGTGACTGATTGGAAACTGATTTCTTCTATGGTTGAATCTTATGTTCCAGTGTGACCTGGAAAGAATGCTTTTCTGTGTGGCTATACTAATACTTATGACTTGTCCCCTTTCTCTAATTCTGCTTTTATTAATGCTCGTTTTGTATTTCATTTTTTCATAAAATGCATTTTTGAGTTTGAGGCTGGCTAATGGGAAGTTGTCACATACGTGAGTCAACTATCTTTTGTGGATATCGATCTATTTATTTAATGATTTAATCTGTATTACAGGGTTTGAGCCTTATAGCTGAGTCTTAGTTATTTAACTGTTTATGTTTTTTATTCTGGTATTATAATGGTTACGACTTAAACCTTTATGGTTGAGTAGTCCATTATTAACTGTTTATTAAATAAAGTTATAATGATATGTGTTATACTGTTTAAATCCTATAAGCTACTTTAGCCTAAATAAAGCCATACTAAAGTCAAAATAAAGACTCTTCGATTAAGTCCTACGTGGGTGAAACGCATTAGAGGGTGCATCCTGATGGGAGGAGAGCCAGCTGAAGCCAGTTTGTGAATCTTTGTGGTTTACAGTTGCAAGAAAAAGTATGTGAACCCCTTGGGATTACGTGGAGTTTTGCATGAATTGGGCATAAAATGTGCTCTGAACGTCATCTAAGTCACAACAATAGAAGAACACAGTCTGCTGAACATAATACTACACAAGCATTAGATGTTGCCATGGTTTAATTTCACATAACATGTAAACATTCACAGTGCAGGGAGGAAAAAGTACGTGAGGCCCTAGCTTAATGACTTCTCCCAGAGCTAATTGGAGCCAGGAGTGAGCCAACCTTGACTCCAATCAGTGTGATGATATTGGATGTGTTGCTGACAGCTGTCCTGCCCTTATAAAACACACACCTGTTTTGGGTTTACTGGTTTCAAGAAGCACTGTCTGATGTGAACCATGCATTGCAGAAAAGAGCTCTCTGAAGACCTACGATCAAGAATTGTTGACTTGCATGAAGCTGAAAAGGGTTACAAAAGTATCTCCAAAAGCCTTTATGTTCATGTGTCCACAGTAAGACAGACTGTTACAAATGGAGAAAGTTTAGCACTGTTGCTACTCTCCCTAGGCGAGGTCGTCCTGTAAAAATGACTGCAAGAGCACAGCGCAGAATGCTGCATGAGGTAAAGAAGAATCCCAGAGTGTCAGCTAAAGACCTACAGAAATCTCTGGCACATGCTAACATTTTTGTTGAACATCTACAATAAGGAAAACATTAAACAAGAATGGAGTACATGGGAGGACACCACAGAGGAAGCCATTGCTGTCCAAAAAGAATATTGCAGCACGTTTGAAGTTTGCAAAAGAGCACCTGGATGTTCCACAGCACTACTGGCAAAATATACTGTGGACAGATGAAACCAAGATTGAGTTGTTTGGGAAGAACACACAACACTATGTGTGGAGAAAAAAAGGCACAGCACACCAACATCAAAACCTCATCCCCACTGTAAAACATGGCGGAGGGAGCATCATGGTTTTGGGCTGCTTTGCTGCCTCAGGGCCTGGACGGATTGTTGTCATTGATAGGAAAATGAATTCCAGAGTTTATCAAGACATTTTGCAGGAAAACGTATGACCATCTGTCCGCCAACTGAAGCTCTGCAGAGGATGGGTGATGCAACAGGACAATGACCCAAAGCATACAAGTAATTCAACAAAACAATGGCTGCAACAGCACAGAATACGCCTTCTGGAGTGGCCCAGTCAGAGTCCTGACCTCAATCCGATTGAAATGCTGTGGCATGACCTTAAGAGAGCGATTCACAGCAGACATCCCAAGAATATTGCTACACTGAAACAGTTTTGTGAAGATAAAAACCAGGACTGGTCCAAAATTACTCCAGATCGTTGTGCAGGTCTGATCTGCAACTACAGGAAACGTTTGGTTGAGGTTATTGCTGCCAAAGGGGGTCAACCAGTTATTAAGTCCAAAGGTTCACATACTTTTTCCTCCCTGCTCTGTGAATGTTTACATGTTATGTGCAATTAAACCATGGCAACATCTAATGTTTGTGTAGTATTATGTTCAGCAGACTGTGTTCTTCTATTGTTGTGA